GCCAGACAGTAAGATTGGCACGGGCTAGAGCAAGGTTGAGGGCTATTGTACAAAGGGTCACTATGAATCACAGGCAACTCCACAGCATGTAACATCTAGCCCTTGCACACTGTCTGTGGACCCTCTGCTGCTTGAGCTCTCCTGGAGCTCACAGCATCATGCCTGGAGCAGGGAGCACTGATGATCCATCCGGCTGTAGCCTAGCCAGCCCTCAGATACTGCATCCAGTGACCAGAATTCATTCACACCCTTCCTTTACTGGAAAGCTTTCCCAAAGCCTGGGGCTCACTGGGTGTCCTGAAGTGGTAACTGACTCCCTCTTCAACGTTCTCTGTTTGTTTTAAACCAAGCAGCATTCATTCCAAGAACTTTGGAGAAAGGGGAGGCCAAACCATTATCAAGCTGTCTCTATGACTGCTTGGGTCTGAATACCAAAGTGCAGGGCTGGCTAAGACCCCAGATGCACCGGATGGGGCCAGCCTGACCATCTCTGTCCTTCAGGATTCACTTTTGAGGGCTGTGACCTGGAGCACAGGAGCCTTGGTGGCACAGTGCTTAAAAATCTTGGCTGCTAACCGAAAGGTCAGCGATTCCAACCCACCATCCACCCGGGGAATTAAGAGGCCGTGGGCTTCCATAAAACCCTAGGGGTTTTACACTTCGTTCCCGGGGGTCTAGGAGTTGGAATGCGGCCACCAAGGACTTTTACTAACATCCATGAAACCGGAACGCAGCAGACCTGGCCGACTCCTCCCCTAGTGACCGCAGCCCACATACCCACACAGCCCGAATCAGATTCCACAGAGAGATCAGGTCTGTCGAGTGTTTCCTGTTCCGGTTGTTCATTTGTGGCCTTTGGGCCAGTTACTTAACCTCTCCATACAAATGGGTTTTCCTATGTGACCCTGATGTGTCATATGCAATAATGGTTACCCACGGTGGACAGTGTTTGGTGGAGCTCCCTTATTAAAACAAGCTTGGCTAGGCAACGAGGAGGTAAAATTATCCCTCTATGCCGATGACATGATAGAATACTTAGAAAACCCTAAAGACTCAGCAAGAAAACTATTGGATGTAGTTGACCAATTCAGCAAAGTAGCAGGATACAAGATCAACATACAAAAATCAGTTGGATTTTTCTACAGCGACAAAAATAACACAGAGCCAGAACTAAGAGAAACAATACCTTTCACAATAGCTAATCACAAGATTAAATACTTGAGAATA